TGAAATAATTTCGTCCAAATTATCGACAAAATGATCTATGTCGTCTAAACGAGCTTCAAGAATATCTATGTATTGGTCATTCTTATCACAATATTTGCAATTTGTTGATTTCTTGGCATTGTTTAATCGTCTTAATCGAGGATAAGAGTCACCTCTTACTGTAAATATATATCTTCTTCCTGTGGTGTCTATTTCGTTAGATATTTTGTTTTTACGATTTTGTAGTGTTCCAGAAATTTGTGGTAAAACCATTTTAGAATGAAAATAATATACTGTAATAGAAAAAATTATCAAAAAACTTTTAAGCTTAGCCATATATATAACTAATACATGTTGCACACACTTATGTTAACGCAGCATTAAACGTCAATTTCTGATTTAACTAAATTAACTTTTGCTCATAATTTGTTATACTGTGAATTTAGTCTCATTTCTTTCAGAGATTATGTTTGTTAATATAAAATTATAAAATTGAACTTATTTACCGAATGATTCATACTACAAAGATCATTTGATCTTTTCGGTTACTTATTTGGAAATTTTTCTCGGATGTTTAATGCATATATCGACTGTATGTTGCATAATTTTGTGATGTAATTTAAGATAACGTATGGGATGCTGTATTGTTTTTAATTATAGATACAATACTGCAAAATACATATACGTAGTTTAATATTTTGCGAAGTATCAACATATATTTATCGCTGTTTTTCGAATAGTCCGATTGGCGAATTTTGTGGTAATTTTTCATGAGCCCAATGATTACTGCAATAACAGGTGCCAATTTCATATTGTTAAAGACATACTAATGAAAATTTTACAAAACAGTAGCGGGCTTATCCTATAATGATAAATATTAAGCACATATTAAGATGAAGCTCCGTAACAATTACATGTATAATTGTTATATGCAGCATACATGCAGTACAGTAATCGCAGTAATATTGAACAAAATTCGCCGATCATACATACGTAGTTTGCTCTAAATAAATTTGTAAAGATGTTTACACAAGTAGAAAGGAGTAAGTACACTAGTGTTCCTGTGTTGGAACCTCTAGACGGAATTGTTTTCCTAATCATCCTTGGCGACGAAACACTGAACGAATAAAAATTTTAATCGATCAATCATTTAGATCACAGATCCAAAATGTTTTTGTTACCAAAGTTGAGTGACTAATAAAAAATGCTCAGCGTGCCTTTTTGTTTATACAATTACTACGGACGCCAATATATTCTTATCGATTATTGATGTTATGAAACAATTTGATTAATGACTTTTATGCACAGGATAGTTAGGGTAC